TTATTGGAAAGTCAGATTCACAGAGGAGAAAAGAGAGAAAGGTCTTCTGTTCGTTAATTCATTCCCCTAGTGGCCTCAACGGCTGGAGCTGAGCCGATCCAAAGCCAGGAGCCCGGAGCTTCTTCTGGATCTCCCATATGGGTACAGGGTCTCAAGGCTTTGAGTTGTCCTTGACTGCTTTCCCAGGCCACAAGCAGGGAGCTGGATGGGAAGTGGAGCACCTGGGATATGAACTGGCGCTCATATGGGATCCCGGTGCGTTCAAGGTGAGGCCTTTGGCCGCTAGGCCATGCCACTGGGCCCCTTATGGGCATCTTAACTGCTTCACCAAGTTCCCCTTTCCTGCCATATATTTCACACCTGTCTCCAGGTTACTTACAATAACTAACACAATGGAAATTCTAGGCAGAACATTGTACTGAATTATTTAGGGGGAAAAGACATGTTCTAGTACAGGAGGGGTGGTTTTTCTGAATATTTTCCCTCGTGGTTTGGTTGAATCCACGGATGCAAAACTGCACATGTCAAAGGGCCACTCCATGTGCCAGGTGGCCAGAGGCAAGCCTGGCACAAGGAAATATTTGTTAGTTACATGTCCTTGACCCCAGTTGGTTAAACGTGCTACAGACTCACAGAGAAGCAGCTTGATTCAAAGAATGCCTAAATGAATGACCAAATGCTACAGGTACTATGGCTTCCTCCCACACACCAGATTTATCTGTTTATTTGAAAACATAGTAGGACAGAGATCTTCTCTCCACTAAATGATCACAAGAGCTGGGACTGGGTCAAGTTGTAGTCAGGGGCCTGGAACTCCATCCAGGTCTCCCATTTGGGTGACAGGGTCTCAAGCACTTGGGCCATCTTCTACAGCCTTCCCAGGTATATTAGCAGGAAGCTGGAGAGGAAGTAGAGCAGCCAGGACTCAAAGTGGTGCTCACAGGGGATGCTGCCGCCGCAAGTGGCAGTTTAACCTGCTGCTCCTACAAGATCAGCCCCGTGCACCAGGCATGATGTACAATCTTTCTGTCAGGTGGATGGTATTATTTTTCTCCAGTTTATAGCCGAGTAAGCAGAAGCTTGACTGGCCTGAAGCACCCAGGTCCTAAGTGATGGAGAAGGATCCAAATTCTGCCTTCTGGAGCTCAAAGCACTGAACCATACCAGCCCTTGCTGCTCCTGGCTGAGGAGGGTCCCAGATGTCCCATGGAAAGCACTGGAGAACTTCAAGGGACTTTGCCCTCCCTTCCCCGCAGCTGGCTGGGACAGCCCTCAGGGGTTATCTCCTGGGTCAGGTAATCAGTAGGTCAGTCTGTCTGGGGCAGGGGAAGTGTGAAGTGTCACTCCCCAAAAGGACACTTCTGGTGTTTCTTGCAGGAAACAGATCCCGGATTACGTGATACACATTTCTAACGAGATGCACGTTACCCTCTGTCGCAGTGAGGCTCAGCTTCTTCCACAAAGTTCAGAGACAGATGAGTTTCGTTAAATTGCCCTGATGGGACAGAGAAATTCCAGAACCCAGGTTGCGGCTGTGGGGCAATACACATCAGAAAGCAGCTCTGTCTGCGGTTGCCAGGTCTGAGAAAGACAAGGCTTGGAAAGTGTTTAAAACGTTTCCTGGGTACCAGTTCCACTTTCACCCCTAGCTGTGAAGGAGCAACGGGAACACGCATAGAGCCCTTGAGGCCCAGCAGTTTCCACTTCTAATGCCTAAAGCAAGTTACCTCATCCCCTCTCAGTTTCTGCCAGGATCAGTGCAAGCTTTATTAAGCGCCTGGTGCGCAGGGCATGCAGTGGAGGTCGGCTACGGCCATTGTTATCAGCATTCATTCTAATGAAAAGGTGATTGGGCACCTACTGGGTGCCACCCAGTGTGAAGGACAGAAGAGGAAGAAAGCTTTGATTTCAAGAAGCTTCAGGCCCTGCTCAGAAAGTAGATGTGCCACCAGTTTGCTCTTTCGCAATCCTGGTGACCAAGGCTGTTCGGTTCCACCTAACTGGGCCAAAAATGGAATTAAACAAATTTTTTTATTTAATTGTATTGGAAAGGCATTTTTTTGGGGGGGGTGTGGGGAACGATGGCATCATGTAATTCATGAGCACGTGATGAATTCGAGAAAAGAGATTATTTGGAAGGAACTAAACTGAAATTAAAATATCAAAACACATGGGATACAGCCAAAAAAGCAAACAAAGGTGTTTTTTTTTTAAGATTTGTTTATTATTTTTATTGGAAAGTCAGATATGCAGAGAGGAAGAGAGACAGAGAGGAAGATCTTCTACCCAATGATTCACCCCCCAAGTGATCACAAGAGCTGGTGCTGCGCTGATCCAAAGCCAGGAGCCAGGAACTTCTTCCAGGTCTCCCACACGAGTGCAGGGTCCCAAGGCTTTGGGCCGTCCTTGACTGCTTTCCCAGGCCACAAGCAGGGAGCTGGATGGGAAGTGGAGCACCTGGGATATGAACCAGCACACCAAATGGGAAGCAGGGACTTAAGCCACTAGGCCACCACACCGGGCCAGAAAGGCAGATTTACAGAGACAGAGAGATACCTCTCCTGTCCACTGCTTTACTCCCCAAGTGGCCACAATGGCTGGGACTGAGCCAATCTGAAGCCAGGAATCCGGAGCCTCTTCCAGTCTCTCACTCCTCTCACTCAAGTATAAGATCCTGTACCTTTTTTTTTTTTTTGAACCATCCTCCTCTGCTTTCCCAGACAGGCAGGGATCTGGATAGGAAGTGGAGTAGCCGGGACATGAACTAGCGTCCATTTGGGATACAAGTACTTGGAAGTAGAGGATTAGCCAATGAGCCATTGAGTCAGCCTCATAAAGCTGGACTTGGAATGAACTTCTAACTCCTGTGCTCCGATTGCCTGTACGAAAGGCGTGCTGTCATTCTTAGGACTATATCCCAGACAGGGACTTTCACAATGATCTTTGTTTTTTATTTGTTGTTTAAAGATTTATTTTATTTTTATTGCAAAGTCAGATATACAGAGAGGAGGAAAGACAGAGAGGAAGATTTTCTGTCCAATGATTCACCCCCCAAGTGACCACAACAGCAGGTACTGCACCAACCCGAAGCCAGGGGCCAGGAACTTCTTCCAGGTCTCCCACACGGGTGCAGGGTCCCAAGGCTTTGGGTGGTCCTTGACTGCTATTCCAGGCCACAAGCAGGGAGTTGGATGGGAAGTGGGGCTGCCAGGATTAGAACCAGCGTCCAAAAGGGATCGTGGCGCGTTCAATGTGAGGCCTTTGGTAGCTAGGCCACAGCCGTCAGGCCCCACAATGACCCTGGAAGGGAGGGTCCTCAACCTCTGGGGAGGAGTCTATAAAGAAGAGGGGCTGGGTTGAAGTAACCTATGCTCTAAGGCTGCAAGCTGGAGAGGAGGGAAGACAACCTCCCTGCCCAGGGCTCCTAACCAGGCCTGCACGTTTAGTCCTTGGCAGTGACACCAGGTCTTGGAGGGTGGTTACAAGTCCAATTAATTTGTGGGGGGAAGGAAAGGTATTTCCAGCCAAGTATGAAAGCTTGCAGAGAATAGAACCAACTAAAACCCTCCCCTTCTCCCCACCAAGGTTCTCAAAGGCACCTGGTGAGTCCTCTGCGGGTGCCTGTTGAATATGCAGATGACCAAGTCCTCCCTCCAAATTCTCATTCTGAAGGTCTGGGCTGGTACCTAGATGTTTTTTGTTAACAAAAATTCCAGGTGATGCTTATCTGCAGGCAAGCCCAAACACAGCACCCTTCACTGGTTCACCTACTTACCCAAGATTCCTTGGATTTTGACAAGATATGGACTAGGAGAGAAGAGGAGCAACCTTTATAGAATGAACAGGTGGTTGAGTGCAGACAGTCCAGAGTCTATGGTGATCGGTACCCCAACTCTCCTGGTCCTCGGACGAGGCTTTCCCCTGCTGCCCATAACAGCCTGGGGAGCGGGGGAGAGTGTGTGGGAGAACAGGCAGGAGGTACAGGCTTGAAGCCCCTAGCTGAGCCTGGTGAAAGCCACCTTCCCTCTTCTCACACCTGCGGGAGACGGGGATCTTTGTCACCAGGAATGCACGGAGGTGTGTGAGGTGCACGGCCCTGTGCCTGGCGCATGGCAGGGTCTGGTACAGGTTCAAAGCCAAAGTGCTCTGCGGGAAAGAAAAACACAGATGGAGAAAGAGCCTTCCGTGCTCCGGAAACAGGTGGAGACCCCGGGGCAGGAATTTACATTTCTTTAATGGCAATTCCAGCTCCGGCAGGGCTGTGCCAACAAGAGAGACAGAGCTAGGAGGGCTCTTACGCAGATAAGGCAAGGCCTGAGACCACAGAGTTGGCAATGAGGGCTCCCCCAGCTGAAGCCCAAGCATCCAGCAACCCTCACAATGCGTGCAGAGTGGCACAGCCAGGCTGTGCATTCCTTAAATCACAGGGGTGAGGCATGCCGGTGGTGGGGGCGGGGGAGGGAGCTAAATGCCATTTTCCCATTATCTGGCTTCCCCTGGTGACTCTTTTCAGATGGAGAAGTCTTTATCCTGGCCCCTCCTGTTCTCTTCCACCTTGGAGGCTGGAGACAGGCTGTCCCAGAGGACAGTGGTGCACCTCGGGACAGTTCCTTAGGAGAGCTTACACCCAGCATGGCTGCCTCAAAGATGCCCAGGCAACACCTGGAACCCACGGGTGGAAGAAGGGGCAGGTAGCTCAGGGGCGGCAGGAAAGGAAGCCACAGCTCCGAAGGCTTTACGAACTTGGCTGCATTGGCTCTAAGTTTTACCTCTTTTAGCAGCAAGACCCCAGAGCCCTCTGCAGCTGGCTACCGGGCTCAGGTCTAGCTCGCCCTGTCCGGTATCCCTTTATGCGGCCACCCCTCCCTCCTCCACTCCAGGTGGCAGAGTATGAGATCTTAAAAAAGCTTCTCGGGCGGGAGGAAGGGCGGGGCGGGGCGGCTGCGCAGGGTCAGGATATAAGCGGCAGAGGTGTAAGTTTCAGGGCCGGTTAGCCCACCATGTACGCCCAGCGTCTTGCGTCTCTTCTCTTCCTGCACGCCTGGTGGGCTCTGCTGCAGGCGGGCGCCGCGACCCTGGCTACAGAGCCCCTGTATGCGCCGAAGCAACCCTCGTCGCCCACCTCTCTTGCAATCATGCTGAGCCTCTACCGCGACCCTCTGCCGCGCGCCGACATCATCCGCAGCCTGCAAGCGCAAGGTAGGCGCCCCTCGATGTAGGGCGCGCGCTGGGGTTGGGGGACTCGGAAGGCTGCGGGTCTCTTGAGTCTGGGTGCTTTGGCGCGCACAGCTATAGCTGAGAGGTATCCACGATCACGAGGGCGGGAGTCGGGCGCTCTGCCTGCTAGGTCTGGGTTTGGGGTGGAACCGGGAGCCTGATCACGCCGCTTTTCGACTTGCGTGGAGCTTTGGTGTGATATCCTGGCGCCTCCGCTCACGCATCTGTGAAATGGGGAGAGCAGTGAGACCCAACCTCCTGGGTACAACTGGGGAGCTCGGGGCGACGCCCACCATGACACGCCCCACTCAGCCACCAGTAGTAACAACAAGCGGTCCTAACTGCTACCGTTCTTTTCCTTGGATATACTTTTTAAAAGGTTTATTTATTTAATTATTTTTGTTTTGTTTTGTCTTGAAGATTTATTTATTTATTGGAAAGTCAGATATACAGAGAGGAGGAGAGACAGAGAGGAAGATCTTCCGTCCGTTGATTCACTCCCCAAGTGAGCGCAACGGTCGATGCTATGCCGATCCGAAGCCAGGAGCCAGGAACTTCTTCCGGGTATCCCACGTGGGTGCAGGGTCCCAAAGCTTTGGGCCGTCCTCGACTGCTTTCCCAGGCCACAAGCAGGGAGCTGGATGGGAAGTGGAGCTGCCGGGATTAGAACCGGCGCCCATATGGGATCCCGGGGCGTTCAAGGCGAGGACTTTAGCCGCTAGGCCACTGCGCCGGGTCCCCCTCGGATATTTTTCCTTCTTCTGAGTTAGGGTAACGTGTCCCTGGGTCTGGTGTTGGGAGTGACATTAGGAACTAAGGTTCACAGGTACGAGTCCTGGGAACGCAGGCCCAAAGTGGCGGCTTGGGGCAGTCCTGGGTCCCCGAGTGGCCAGGGTTGGAGGCGGCCGGAGGCGGTGCGTTCTGGACTCGGGGACGTGTGGTATAATAGGTCGAGATCCAAGCAGAGGGCCCCCTCACCAGCGAAATCCGCACCCCGCGGCGCCCTCTCACCCCGCCCTCTCTCCTCCTGGGGGGGCCAGACGGCCCCTCCCCTGCGCGGGCTTCAATCCACATCTTCTGTGCGACCCGACGTGCCGCCCACCGGCCCCTCCCCGCGCCACGTCAGGCGGCGGTGACCCTCGCCGGAAGGGTCAGCACCGGCTCAGCCAGACGAGGACAGCCCGAGGTGGGGGAGAGGGAGGGCAGAGGGAAAGCGGGCCAATGCGACGAGGGGGAAGGGCGCGCCTTTTCCAGGTCGCTTCCTTTTAGAAAGGTGTTCTACTGGCAAGCTGGAAAATCGGCTTGCGTTGCCTCAAACCCTGCTCCCCAACCCTCTGAGTCTCTGGCGCACGGTCTGGCTGGGATGCTTTTCCTTTGTTATTAGGAAGCTTCTCCTTTGCAGCTGTGTGAATGCACAGAACACGTTCACCATTTCTTGGCTTTGTTTTTTCTTTTTTTTTTTTTTTTTTTAAGATTTATTTATCCGAAAGGCAGAGTCACGGGGGTGGGGGCCGGGGAAGAGAGAGAAATTTCCCACCCGCTTGGTTTACTTCCCCAAACTGGCTGCTACAGCCAGGGCTGAGCCAGGGAACTCCACCTGGATTTTCCACATAGGTGCAAGCGCCGAAGGACCTGAGCCATCCTCCACTGCTTTTCTAGGGGAGTTAGCACGCAGCTGGATCAGAAGTGGAGCCGCCTGGTTCTCAGAAAAGGAATTAACCCATTACACCCCATGCTGGCCCCTGGCTTAGTCTTCTAAGAACAGAAGGCCTGGGGGCAGGGAAAGAGTGGTGGAGAAAGCAAGTTCCAACTCTCCCTGGGTGTATGTGTGTATTCATGTTGCAGTTAACAGTGTGATGAGTTTGGAGCTGGAGCTTACCAATATTCACCTCCCTGCCTGTGGGCCTCCAAGGTGGGGGCCACAGAGATAATGCTTGGAAAACATTGGCAGCTAATGCTGATAATTAGCACCAGTGTAGAAAGGCACTCCGCTTATCCCTGCTCTCCTTTCCCAGAGACCCTAGCGAGGGGAAGGAACCCGGATCCTTCCCACTTTGCAGGGAGAGGGAACTCAAAATATCACTGGGGTCTGCAACTCTCATGTGGGTGGGTTTTAGGATGTCTGCGAACCCCTCTCCCACATTCCCCATCAGATCACATTTATGGTACTAGGTGGAGTGATTGGTTTTCTCACCCTGAGGATATTTTCTCACTCTTTAAAAATAATTATTTGAGGGCCTGGCGGCATGGCCTAGCGGCTAAAGTCCTCGCCTTGCATGCTCTGGGATCCCATATGGATGCCGGTTCTAATCCCGGCAGCCCTGCTTCCCATCCAGCTCCCTGCTTGTGGACGGCCCAAAGCTTTGGGACCCTGCACTCATGTGGGAGACTTAGAAGAAGTTCCTGGCTCCTGGCTTCGGATCGGCACAGCACCGGCCATTGCCGTCACTTTGGGCATGAATCATCGGACGGAAGATCTTCCTCTCCATCTCTCTTCCTCTCTTGTATATCTGACTTTGCAATAAAAAAAAATTTTTTTTTAAATTATTTGAAAATCAGAGTTGAGAGGGAATCTTTGATGGTCACATGGCCAGGATAAGCAAAGCTGCAGCTAGGGGCTTCATCTAAGTCTCCCATGTGGGTGCAAGGGCACCCAAGTACTTGGGTTATCATTTGCTGCTTTTCCAGGCACAGTTAACAGGGATGGATCATAAGTGGAGCAGCCAGGACTTGAACCAGCACTGCAATATGGGACGCTGCACCACAATATCTGCCCCGAGAGAAAATACTTTCCAATTCTTTGCCCCCAGACCCCCTGCTACAGGTGGCCAGGAATTGTCACAGTGCCCCACCCATGTCCCAGCTGGTCAGGTGGGGTGGCTTAGATAGCTCATCAGGTGCTGTCAGCCTCTGCCCCAGGCCTCTAAAGACAGGTTACTGCCTCCTGCAGGTGCTAATGAGCAGGGCAGTGGAGACTTAAGTGAAAAAGCACAGCTGCCTGGGGCCTGAAGCTGGGAAGTGCCCTCCTCTAACACAGGCTGTGTGTGACCTGAGACGCTCTGCCAGGCAATAAAGCAATAAACAGCAGACACAGCAGAGCTGGGTAAAACACTCTTGCTGCCATTGCAAAGGTGGGGGAAACAGCCTTAACAAAAGTTCAGGATCACTTCTAAGTGAGCTACAAATCCACAAGTATGTGCCAGCCTGACATACAAAAGTAGGACTGAGATAAAAGGAGTGTGCTCTGCAAGGCTTTCTAAGCCTGACTGGGCTCACCTGTCCCTAGGCAGGTGGAAGGGACCAGCTGGGTGTGTGACTGCTGTGGGTCAGCCCCAGAGGCAGGAGGTGGGTGACCATCCTGAAGGCTGGTAGCAAAGACCAGTGGGCGGAGAACTGCCAAGTTGCTGCCTCTAGGGAGTGGTGCTCAGTGAGCAGCCCCAGCTGCTGTCACCTATGCCTCTGAGAGCTCTGGGCTCCTTCCCTGCAGTCACATGGAGCCCAGTGCGCTGGGAGTCAGGCTCCCCAGAATGAGGAGCCCAGGTGAGGAGAGAGGGGGATACCTGGCTCTTCCAGGTGCTCTCCAGCTGCCACGTGGAGACACTGGTAGAGCAGCTGTTTGGACTTAGGGCTTTGCAGTTGAGCAAATCCAAGTTTACTCTTGGCTCTACCATTTTCCAAGGGTGGCATTGTAGGCAGGTCCTTTCACCTCTGAGCCTAAGTTTTCCTTCCTTCTAAAATGGGTTTGGTAACATCACCAGCCCCTACCCACCCCTACTCACTTCCTTCCTGGTTTTCTCTCATCCAGATGTCAAAGTGGCCGGACAGAACTGGAGTTTTGCTTTTGACTTCTCCTTCCTGAACCAGGAGGAGGAGCTGGTGTGGGCTGAGCTCCGGCTGCAGCCGTCCAGCCCTAGGGACTTCCTGGCCGAAGGCCCGCTCACCGTGGAGATCTTCCACCAGTCAAAGGCAGATGCAGAGCAGGACCCAGCTGGCTGCTTGGAGCGTCTTCGGATGGAGCTGTTCACCGTCACACTGTCCCAGGTCACCTTTTCCTCGGGCAGCATGGTCCTGGAGGTGACCAGGCCACTCTCCAAGTGGCTGAGGCACCCCAGGGCACTGGAGGAGCAGGTGTCCAGTTTGGATAGAGTGTGCTTACAGCCATCTCCTGGCCCACCCAGCACCGACTCTGCCCCCAGTGTCGTCCTGATGCTCCACTCCAACCTCTCTCGGGAGCAGAGACGGTTGGGCGGCGCCACCTTGCTGTGGGAAGCCGAGAGCTCCTGGAGGGCACAGGAGGGTCAGCTCGCCCAGGAGAAGAACAGGAGGCGCCGACGGCATCACGTGCCGGACAGAAGCCAGCTGTGTCGCAAGGTCAAATTCCAGGTGGACTTCAACCTCATCGGCTGGGGCTCCTGGATCATCTACCCCAAGCAGTACAACGCTTACCGCTGTGAGGGAGAGTGTCCTAACCCAGTAGGGGAGGAGTTTCATCCAACCAACCATGCCTACATCCAGGTGCGAAGAGGTGGGAGGTTGTGCCGGGGAAGAGGGAAGGATACTTGCTGTGTTGTGTTCACCCATTCAAGCATCCACCACTAGCTGCTAAACTTTTGCTGCTTGAGACAGGAGTTGGCACCACCCAACCTGCAGGAGTAGACAAGGCCAAAAGCTGCCGCTGGTGCCACTGATCAGCCTGAGGCCTAGGAGATGCTAGGCAGAGAACAGACGACTGGTAGGTTAGGAAGAATGAGCTGGAGGGCCCCACGTGGTAGCCTAGTGGCTAAGTCCTTGTCAGGATCCCATATGTGCACCAGTTCTAATCCCAGCAACCCTACTTCCCAACCAGATCCCTGGTTGGGAAAGAAGTGGTCTGGGAAAGAAGTGGTCTGGGAAAGAAGTCGACAGCCCAAAGCCTTGGGACCCTGCACCTGGCTCCTGGTTTCAGAATGGCACAACTCTGACCATGGCAGTTGTTTGGGGAGTGAATCATCAGATGGAACATCTTCCTCCATATATCTGATTTTGCAATAAAAATATATAAATCGTAAAAAAAAAAAAAAAGAGAGATGGAAAGCATAGAATATTAGTTGACGCTGACATTGCCACTGCACCACCTTGCCTTCAGAAGTCAGGTGGGATCCAACCATCCTCATATTATTCCATGAAGCCTGGACTAACACTCCCCGGAACCTGCAGCTCTTTTTTTTTTTTTTTAAAGATTTATTTATTTATTTATTTCTATTGCAAAGTCAGATAAACAGAGACAGAGAGGAAAATCTTGCGTCCAATGATTCACTCCCCAAGCAGCTGCAACGGCTGAAGCTGAGCTGTTCTGAAGCCAGGAGCTTCTTCGGGGTCTACCCACGCAGGTGCAGGGTCCCAAGGCTTTGACCTGTCCTCAACTGCTTTCCCAGGCCACAAGCAGGGAGCTGGATGGGAAATGGGGCTGTTGGGATTAGAACTGGCATCTATATGGGATCCCGGTGCATACAAGGCGAGGACTTTAGCTGCTAGGCCACTGCGCTGGGCTGAGGCCATTCTTAAAAAATAAATAAATAAGTCAAGCTAGAGGTCAAAGAGCTCACACTCCCTTGGCATGCCAGTTTATGAAAATAACTTTCTTCTATTTTTTGCACTCTGGAATGGGCACTGAGCCACCTGTCCTCCTTTTCAGAGTCTGCTGAAGCGTTACCAGCCCCACCGAGTCCCCTCCACCTGCTGTGCCCCGGTGAAGACCAAGCCGCTGAGCATGCTGTACGTGGACAATGGCAGAGTGCTGCTGGACCACCATAAGGACATGATTGTGGAGGAATGTGGGTGCCTCTGACAGGACCCCGGGGTCAGACGCAGGATTGGCCTGCGCTCTGGAAGGCATCGGATCATCATCTATTAAAAGTTGGTGCCAGTTTGTCTCAGCTAATCCCCAAAGAATCCAGGAGGGCATGAGTTGCTCTGCCCATGGGGACTGAAGCAGACAGTAGGGCCCTCGTCAGGGAGTGGAGGAGGCCAGTGTTGGGGGTTGGTAGTTTTTGCCTACTTGGAAAAAAAAAACCTGAGGCGAGTACGACGCATAGGTGTGTATGGAGGGGGTAAAGTTCTTCCCTGACTGTGAGACCCTGGGAAGCCTTTGAACTTGCATGTTGGTTTGGGGAGCTGGAGCAACATCCTCTATAGCTTTCATGAATTCTCCTAAGTGGTTTCTAGACCTGGCCTCTGCCCCAGGATTGAAATGTGGGCTAGGGAAGGGGATTTCCCACCGCCTCCACCATGTCTCTCTTGCTGGCCAATGGCAATCTGCCTTGTTGAGAGGTACCCTGGAGTTTGTCTCTGCTACTGAGTTGCATCCATAATAAGGCAGGCTGGTACCCAGGGCAGGAGTGGCAGGAACTCCTACCTGACACCCATCAGTCTGTCCTGGCAGACACAAACCGCATCAATTACAAGTTGGTGCCAGTTTACCTCAGTTTCCACGTTCCTGAGGCCCCCAGCTCTGTAAGGCTAACAGTGATTACAAAACCACTGAGCAGCTAGGTGGACCAGTACCCACCGGCCTATCCGAACACATTGAGCTTGTGTTGGCTGGAGAGCAAAGAGTCAGGAACTTTAAGCCAGGCCTGCCCTCCAGGCCGATCCCCTTGTGACTGGTGGTTCGTGGTGATTGCTGGATTCCAGTTCAGCACAGCAAAAGGAATACCTAGGAGTCCATTTTTGGTCATTAAACAAAACACAAGGAAGTCTTCAAAAAGTATGTGGAACACGCGTATTACAAAAAAATGCATGGGTTTATTTGGGGCACCCAAATAAAGCTTTTTAAAGTCCATTTTGCCATGAACTATTTGAAGTATGCTCATACCTGAGGTTGGGGGAAGGGCATGATATATAAAAAAGAACTCCCTCCCCCGCTCCACACACATTTGTGGGATCTGGCACTGTTAGCTGGCAGTGCTCCCTAAGCCTGTACTACCTCCCATAAAGTGCCCCACCAGCACCCTGTAGACTATGCTGACAACACATGAACCACGTCCAACACTGGGAGAGACCAGGTTCTCTGGAGTACAAGCACCTTCATCTGGATGAAGACCCCAGCATGGCTTTGGAGAATGGGGCTAAGCCCAGGCTGCTTAGCAAGGCAGCGTAGCCATTTAACAGGGACTGTAGGTACAGGTCAAATCTGCCCCTACCCTGTTTGCTTTTCTCTTGTGCTCTAGCCTCAAGTAACTGGCAGCTGTGGTGGTGTGACACAGCCATGGCTCGGGCTCAGTCAAAGTGGTAATCCTGGCCTAGGCAGGAGCTGGATTTGCTGGAGTCGTGCCTGGGCTCAAGAAACCACAGTTGAAGGACCAGCACTGTGGTACAACAAGTTAGGTCATGGCATTCCGGGAGTGAACCAACACATGGAATCCTGCTCTCCCTATGTATGGAAGATTCCCCCTAAAATGTTATAAAGAGGAAACTGTAGTTTAAAGACTGAGAATCCCAGGGCAGCTACTGTGGCACAACACTTAAACTACTGCAACTACTGCTTGGGATCTTGCATCCTATATCCTGTTGCATGTAAGCTTCCCCTCACACACCCAGGCCCACAGACAACAAAAGTGCTCCCTAAGTGTGGAAAGCTGACACATACCTTTGTACCTCCTACTCTAGGAATAAGAAAAATACTCTCAACAGAATTTTATCCCAAAACTTTCAGAAATTAAGCCACCAAGTTGATATTCAAAATTTTTATTGATTTCTTTGTAACAGCAACCACTGGAAAGAATTTCATTTTCCCCTAATTTCCAAACATTTGCTGGTTTGAAAGATTGGTTAAACAACATAAACTGGTCATGGGATCACACAGGACCACCTGAAAAACTGCATGGGAGCCCTCTGCTACCCATCCATGACAGTGAAATGGACGGAATGGGGTGAGGGGTCACATACCAAGGGAGCAGGGAAGTCCAAGGAAAGAGCTGGCAGTTTCTGCTTTCTATTCACAATGGATAAACCTGGTGGCACTAAGATAGAGAAGAAATTAAAAATAAAGATGCTTAAAATGGACACCTCAAAATGTGAGTGTACCCTGGGTTCTTCAAGATTGAGCCCTGGGGTGGCAGAGTCTCGGCAAGAGATGGACTCCCTGTATGGGTGCAGGAAAGGCACTGGCGCAGACTCGGTGACTGGGGGCGGCCACCAGGAGGAACTGCAACACCACGTAGAGATTCACCCTCCCCCCCGCCCCGTTTGAACTCAAAATGCCCAAGGCCTTGGCTTGGACTGCTTGGAAGATGGAGAGGAGAGAGGTGCACTGGGACAAGAACTAGTATTCTCTGCTGGGCTGATGGAATTCTCTAAGCAGTTAAAATCTACAGGGAATCTTGGTTTTCAGCACTGACAGGAGCTCCCTTTGGAAATCTCAGGATGGCTACACAATTTTCAAGGTAGGGCAGCCCCTTCTGCCAGCTTCAGGCACATGGGAAGGTAGCAGAGTGAGAGTTAAATGCCTTGGAACTTGTGTCCTACATCAGCCATATTTTCCATCGGGCATCCATGCCCTATAGCATGGTTTATCAGGGCTGCTGCCAGAGGCTGACAAGCAAAGAAAAGCAACAGACCATCTACACAGCAACTTGAAAGGTGTCAACTTCCAGCACTAGCCTACAGGAAGCTGGGAAAGATGTTGCAGATGATTAACTGGAAAAACTAGTATTGGTCATGAGCTAGCCTCAAGGAAATTCCTGAACAAGAAGCCTGCTTCTGGAACAGGAAACATCTCTGGGTTATGGCATTCTGCAGAACAATGATCCACCTGCATAAAGATCAGATCCCGCTTTAATGTAAATGCTAAGAATTCGGGAAGGAGCACTGTGCCCCTCCCCCCGAAAACCAGACAAATTGTCCTCTCAAAGCAGCAATGTTTTCATTCAAAAAAATCCTACCTTCTCCCAGAAGTGAGGGCCGGGTAAGTAATTGGGTCTCATCAACTGGTTATGTGTGTAGTCCAGACAAAGACAGGAAGGCCTGCTCTCAAAAATGGAATGCAAAGGGCCAAGGGTGCTGGCAGTTAGCAACTGAGACATGGAAAGAGAAACCGTTTCCAGGATACTTCTAACCCAAGCCTTTTACGCTGGTGGCCTTGAAAGCAGGCACTCTGATTGACTTGATGATGGACTCAGCAATGAAACCCACAGCTCTAGCATGCTGCATTCCAATGAAAGTGTCCAGTTATAATGGTGTCTGAACTGGGTAGGCAAGATCTGAAACTCCCAGAATGGTAACCCAAATAGGGGAAAATTTTTTTCTAACATGGCTTCAGCAGCAATGCTTCTTACACAAGTACACTTGAAAGCAAGACGGGATACCAGCAAGAGGCTTTTCATAGAACCCACCTGTCTAAGTTACTTGATATTGCTTAAGGCATGGTGGGAACGGGTGCCTCACATGCACATCAGACATTGTCTGTCTCTATATTGAGGGCGAGGATAAGACTGATCCCCTTCAGAAACGCTCAGTTTCCCAAGTTCTAAAGAAGCAGCAAGCAGACTCTTGTGAGTCTCCGATGCTGCCTATTTTCACTGTGACCTGAAATAGGGGAGCAGAGCAGGCCTCAAAAACTGACCGCACCCCACCTCCAGATCCCTTCTTCTACTTCACCCTGAATCCCAATGGCTGCTGTTTCATCAGCTCCTTTAACAATCCCCACTCTAACTCAGCTTTAGTGGCTCAGCTGGGAGGATCCAGTTCCTTCTCCTCACTAAAGGAAAATAAACAGTGAATGAATCTTAGAGAAATCAAGTTTAGGACTTGCAGACAAGCATTCCCTGAGCTGCTGCTAGCCAGGCATATGGCCACTCCACTTCTGGAAGCTGCCCAGTTTTCACCATGCCCCTAAAACCAGGAAGCAACTTAAGGGAAAGGGCAACAGTCTGTCTTCTGCCCCACCTTGGTGAGAGGCATCTCAGATGACTGTTTTTGTAGCAATGTGTCAAGCCTACCATTGCAGATACTACCTGCCTCCAGTGGACCTGGCTTCATGCAGGTGGGATGTGGGGATTCCTCTCCTTGAGGGTGGCTAGGCTTAGTGGTTAGTTGCTAAAGAAGAGGTGATGGTGTGTGCTTTTGGAGACTATGTCATAAAAGGCACGACAGGTGGGTGTTAGACCTAGTAGTTGAACTGACAGGCAGGGTACCCAAGTCCCACACAACTCCTGATGATGTGACATGTATTCTAGCAGACAGTGTTGATGGCTCAAGTGGTCGAGTCTCGGCCACCCATATGAGAGGCCTGGATTCAGTTCCCTGCTCCAGGCTTTGGCTCTTTGTGGCTACTGTGGACAATTAACGAAAAATGGAAGATCTCTATCTTTCCAATAAATTGACTTTGATATATATATATATTTTTTTTTTTTTTTTTAAATAAATGCATATCAACTTTCTCCTGTCCTGCCCCCTCTCTGGGATCACTTGCTCAGGGCCAAACCGGCTATTGTAAAGGTGGAGACACCATGCTGCCTGGTGGAACGGCTCCTATGGGAGGCACACCATCCACAGACACAGGGAACTCAGAACTGGATTATACTGTCCCAACTTCATGAGACCCTGCTGAGTGATTCCACATCCTAATGCACACACTGACAGACAACGTTTGTTAGTTCACGATACTAAGTTTGGGGATAATCTGTTACAGCAACAGGAAGTTAACACTCTTGGATCAGAAGCCAATACCTAGAATCCAGTGTCTGCTCCTGTGCAATACCTAATTAAACAGAAGAGGCAAACTCAAGGAATCACACTATAAAGTAAGTGAAAAATACAACAATGCCGTGTATCCTGCTGAAATCTGGAAAAAGGTTATTTCCCACAATTCAGACTGATTGTCCCCAGAAGTGCAGAAACACGGGTTCCTCATAAAGTACAGGTGTTCACTAAGCTTCTAGTAACCGTCTCATTCAGGCTGTAAATTAAGGGTTTTCCCCTCCTAGAAACCATCAGGATACGTTACTCATGGAAAAATCTCAGCCATGAGAATTGTTTCCCCACATCCAGAGGCAAACAGAGATATCATCTCCTGGAAATTTCTCTTGCCTCATAAAGTGATTTTAAAATGTTGATTTCTAGAGGCCCAAGCACCTGCAGACACAGCAGCCTCAGGGAAACACCTGCACCAAACAGCAGGCAGGGACAGGGTGGCTGCAGCATTACCAAGGTGATGTGCCCCAAAGTTCTACAGGCATATGCTCTGACGAGAGGGCCCACAGGCATCCTGCTATCCCTGAACACAGGCCGCAATAAAGATGGAGAAGAGGCTGCTGGTTCTGGCAGAGAGCTGGTGGCCAGCAGGAGTCTGATTCTACAGGAGGCCAAGACCAGTGTAGAAGAATGAAAAGTCTCACTCCCAAAGAATCAAACTTCTCAGGGTACAAAGAGGTACTCGGCAAACTTCGTATGCAAATGATCAAGCAACTTAGTTTTCCAAAGAGTATGTAAAGCGAAATTTGTAGTTTAATTAAAATCAGAACAGGGACATATCAAACAACAACATATTTTTCTGATTATCACTTTTTGAGTCAAAGCATCCCCCAAACATTGGAGATCCAGCTTATTCCTGAGACATCAACCATCACAAAAGGTTTTCACTCTTTGAACTATTCACATTTTGTAGCAGAAAACAGAACAAAGTCCCACACACATCCCTCCTCTGTTCTTCCTACAACGTGTTCACAAACAGGAGCATTCAGAGTTTCAAAGAAAAACAGCTTTCTTAGCCTGGGATCTGATCACTTAACAAGTGAGTTCAGGGCATCAAATCCAAGCGGAAATTCCCAGGACTTTTTTATTTTTCTTTCTATGAGGGGATGGATGCACTTGTCTATGACAAGTGTCTCTCTCCTGGGATTCCTGTGCCAGTCCATAACCCTGGAGACACAGGTGGCGAGGAGGGTGAATGAGAAAGCGCAGGGCAAGAACAAGGAATGGGTAGGCTTTGAACATCCCATCACAAGACAGAATGGTCCAGTTTCACAAACACTCTCTACAGACAGCAGACATGCACACCCGAACTAGAAGAGAAAGCAGAAAAGTGGAGAATGGATTGGAGACATGGGATGGGACACAGAACAGCAGACTCGCTTGTGGACAGTTCTCACCTTCCTAACACTGGAAGGTATTAATTAAAAAGTTGCTGTTCAGAATTGTACTGAAAACATATTTAAAAATAGGTCTGTAGTCATCTTAAAAATAAAAGGTTACTCCTCAAATAAGAGGAGTAACAGGTTTTATCAGATACCAACACTTGAGGTATCTTAGAAGTGGATTTGAAAAATGGACTGGCAGAGAAGGAAAGGAGCAAAAGAAAGAAGGAAAGAAGAAAGGGGAATCAAGAGTAAAACAGGAAAGGCAAGAAACTGGGAGGAACACATTTTGAAGTCCAGTCTTATCTACCCCAGCTGCCAAACACAGCAGACTTGCCAAGGGGAAGAGCTCTTGTCTGCAAGCACCTGAGAGTTGGCTTTAAACTTGCCCATATTAGGAACAGCCAGCCAAAACAAGTGACACAGCTCATGGGCCCTAAAGCAGCGACCATGGAGACTGGGCCCATCAACCATCCTGCGCTCTCCCAGGGTCATCCTTGGGTGTTACCTGGCATGGTTCTATCAGCAGGCATTATCAAGCAGAGGTGGCTGTTGTGACTCTCTTATTTGGGATGGACCTGCTCCAGGTGTGCACAAAACCACCCAGACACTTGGAGTATACAAAGACTTTGCTAGCAATAAGATGCAAGCAGGAAGGAACGGGGGAAGAGTGAAGGAGAGCTGATACTTGGGACTCCCTTCTGACGTGGAGCTTAAAAATATCCATACAAACGCGCTACATAAGAAAATAGCAAGAAGGATTGTAATACCAAGACAGAAGAAGACATTCCTCCCAGAGGAAATAGGGGAAGGAGCCCTCAGAATGGTATCACAGGAAAATGCTACCAGAGTTGCACCAACTATACTCTGTCCTCAAGGACAGACGCCAAGGGGAAAGCTGCTCTTCTTGGCCACTTTCCCTGATGGTTTTCAAGATCCCAACCTAGCTTCTCCTGCAGCCCTGAAGCACAGGCAGGAGACAGAGGAGAAGGAGCAAGGATAACGCAGGACCCACCAAACCCCTGTGTCCTTTCTCTGGACTTCCCAACAGGAAGTTGTCGGTGGGCAGAAATTTGATTTGGGGCAGATCTGAGTTGGACAGGTAGTTCTCAATTGAAAAGTGACCGAGGAAGCCAGTTCAACTGTTTCCATGATGGACTGCTTGGTTCTGTGGAAATAGTCTCAGGGCCTTCAATCTAACTAAGTGGGAGGAGAAACAGGAAATGGAGGAGAAATGGTCAGAAGCTCATCATCCCATCATTTGGCACCTGGAAGAAGGGGGTGCAAGCAGCAATGGGGACTGCTGGTATGGCCTCCAGGCTTCCACTGTGGATCTGATCGGTCCAATCATGTACATGCAGGTCTCCATACAGCTGCTTTTCTGCTAATCTTTACTGGTGAGTTAGATGTCCATTTCAAACTGAGCATCATCCCCTAGTCAGCACAAGAAAATGACAAGTTTAGCACAAAAGGGAAAAGCAAACTTTCAACCACCAATCTCCCTTCACAAGAGTCACAAAATGGCCCAGACTTATCCCATTCTCTGTTGCCTTAAAACATTTTGCTTTGCTTTGGTTGCATTTTATACTCTGTCCCTCTGTCCACAGGGTTACCAAGCAGCAATTCCTGGGAATTATTTACTGAATTTCAGGTAAGCACATTCTTCTTGTGGTTTTGAACACATTACTCATTAAACAAACACTCATTTGAAATGAGAAGGCATAATGCTGATGCACGCCCACAGGCCTCCACATGCAACTCCTGGGATGTACTTCAGGAGCTGGCCATTTCCACCTAGCTGTTGTGTCAGACACAAAGAACTCCTGACTACAGATGTGCGTGGCAGGCATATTCAGAAACATATTGGGAAACAAACCCCTCTGCATTTCCCCACATCATACAAAAGGACATTCTAGAAGGAACAGGCCTAGTTCAAGTAAGGGATGAGAATTTGGACTGTGAAATTCTATTTTGCTTGCCATATGTGTGCCACCCCTGTCCAATAAAGCTTAGGTCATCAAGCCCTCAAGGCAAGGCTAAGGGCTCTCCACCTGAACTGACCATCCTCTGATCCCATCCACAGTAACTAGACGAGAGGGTTTCAATAAACTATTTGAGGAATAAAGGGGCACCTTAGAGATAACCAGTTATCACCCCATTCAAAAAAAAAAAAAAAAAACCAACATTTTTTTTCTTTTTAATAGACTCAATATAGTTCATGGGTATAATTCTATGAATATGATATTCCCTTCCTCTCTTCTCAAAATTTTTTCAACCCTAGCAAACTAACATTCAACTTCCCATAGCAGCCCTCTTCATCTCCACTCTCTTACCAATTGCATGCTTCCGGTCATGATTGTTTAAGTTGTTCAAATTGTTTACTTCCACTTTGGAGTCTTCGATTAAGGTGCCAGGGCTCGTGACTCCTGGAATATTGGGCAGATGACAGGGCGGGGTCTGAGCCATTGGAGAATTGCGACGATCCAACAAAAACTTTCGATCATAAATGATTCGGGTTCCTGGAAAACAGGGTTGAAAACACTCTGAAACAAAGTAAAGAGCTAGCAGCATATTACCCAAGAAAGCATTTATTTTGGAAATATCCCTTCTTTCTCTTAATACTCTTTAAAACAAACAAAAATGACCAGTAGTTGAAAGGCAGAGAGAGAGAGAGAGAGAGAGACAGGAAAGGAAAGACAAGTATCGTCCTCACACTGTTTCCTCTCCAAATGCCTACAATGGCCTCGGCTGGCCCAGGAGGCTGGAACTCAATCTGTCTCTCCCGTGGGTAGAAGGTGAGCTATCACCTGCTGCCTCCCCAAGCGCACTGTCAGGAGTTAGGACTCAGGAACTGAGTTGAAATGCCACTAATCCTAAGTCTTAAGGAGATACTCTAACCCCTCTGCCCAAGAAGAGACTCCTGCCATCTGCAATCTCCTTTCTTCTGCTCTGTCCGTGAAACCCCTGCTTATCCTTCATGACTCAACATTGCTTCCTTTACAAAAGTCACCCCCTTACTGAGAACATCTTTTCTTCTTATCAGCCAGTATAGGTCCTGTTTATCTATCTTCCCCTATGGACTTGGATTCCATATCCTAGGGATATGCTAATTCATATCTGACCTATGTCCTAATGTTATGATCTTCAAGGGGTCGGCACCATGTGTAGTTGCTTAAACCTCTTCCTGCAGTGCCAGCATCCCATTTAGGCACCAGTTCAAGTCCTGGCAGTTCCACTTCCAGTCCAGCTCCCTGCTAACGTGCCTGGGCTCCAGCACCCACGAAGACATATCTGGAAAAAGCTCCAAACAACTGACTTTGGACAAACTCAGCTCAGGCCTCTGTAGCCATTTGGAGCAAATGGAAGATCTTCCTGTCTCTCCCCTCCTCTCTGTAACTACTTTTCTGGTAGGTAGATAGACAGATAGATAAATGAATAAATAAACCTAGAGGAAGAGCTGCTGCTCTCTTTTTGTCATATTCTCCCCAAGGTACTACTGAGTTAGGTAATATAAAAAAAAAAAGGAGGGCACAGCTAGGGGTGAAAAGTCCTCACCTTGAACACATCAGGAACCCATATGGACGCCAGTTCTAATCCTGGCAGCTCCACTTCCGAAGGTTCTTCCCCTGTCTCTCCTCCTTTCTGTATATCTGACTTTGCAGTAAAAAATTAAATAAACCTTAAAAAAAAGGGGGGGGGGAGCAAAAGGAAAGGAAAAAGAAAAGTAGCCACAGGAAGATTCCTGGGAGGTGATCATTTATAGAAACCACTGACTGAAGAGGGCGACCAAGAGGGAAGTGGTAGTGCAGCATATGTGCCAAGTCCAGCTAGGAAACAAAAGGAATTAGTCAGGACCAAGTATCATGTCCACAATGGGTTTAAAGCCAAAGAAAATTTGGGCCCAGCAAAGTGGCCTAGCAGCTGAAGATCTTGCCTTGAACGCGCAGGGATCCCACAAGGGCGGTAGTTCTAATCTCCGCAGCCCTGCTTCCCATCCAGCTCCCTGCACCTCCATGGGAGACCTGGAAGAGGCTCCGGGCTCCTGGCTTTGGATCAGCTAAGCTCCGACCGTTGTGGTCACTTTGGGCGTGAATCATTGGACGAAAGATCTTCCTCTCTGTCTCTCCTCTTCTCTGTATATCTTTCAAATAACAATAAATAATTCTTTTTTTAAAGATTTATTTTTATTATTTTTATTGGAAAGGCAGATATACAGAGAGGAGAGACAGACAGAAAGATCTTCCGTCTGATGATTCACTCCCCAGACAGCTGCAACGGCTGGAGTTGAGCCAATCCAAAGCCAGGAGCCTCTTCTGGGTCTCCCACGTGGGTGCAGGGTCCCAAAGCTTTGGGCCGTCCTCAACTGCTTTTCCCAGGCCACAGGCAGGGAGCTGGATGGGAAGGGAAGCGGGGCTGCCGGGATTAGAACCGGCGCCCATATGGGATCCCGGGCGTGCAAGGCAAGGACCTTAACCACTGTGCCATCGCACCGGGCCCTAAACAATTCTTTAAAAAAAAAAAAAAAAAAGCCAAAGAAAATCCTGCTCTAAGGCGTTAAGTCATCCAAATTAAAGGTAAAAACAAGACAATGTATGAGGATGCTGGATTACAGAACAAAACTCTAAATATTACCCACTGGCAAATGCCTTAAAAAAGATTCATTTATTTTCTATTGGAAAGTCAGATATACAAAGAAGAGGAGGAGAGACAGAGAGAAAGATCTTCCATCAGCCATCAGCTGATTTACTTCCCAAGTGGACACATGGCTGGAGATCAGCTGATCCAAAACCAGGAGCCAGAAGCTTCTTCTGGGCCTTCTACATGGGGGGCAAATGCCTTTAAATCCTCAACTGAAAAGGAATTCTGTCATGTATAACATGAATCTGAGTCACATATTTCCTCTTCCTCAAACAACTTGTGATGATCAATTTCAGAGAGGAACAGGGTAACAAATCTATCAGAAATGTGAGGAAGAGAGTGGGAAAAAAAGCTAGACATTTGCTATAAGACAGAAAACTCCAGGGCTAGCACCGTGGCTCAGTAGAAAAGTCACTGCTCACCATGCCTGCATCCCATATGCAGGTGTCAGTCTATGTTCTGCTGTTCCACTTCTGATACAGCTTCCTGCTTTGGGGCCTCGGAAGGCATAAAAAGATGGCCCAAATTCTTGGGATGCTGCACCCATACGGGAGACTAGCATGGCGTTCCTGGCTCCTGGTTTTGGCCTTGCCCAGCCCGGCTGCTGCAGGCACTGAAGTGAATCAGCAGATGAAAGAGCTCTGTCTCCCTTTCTACCACGGCCTTTCAAATAACCCAGTAAATCTTACAGGTGAGAGGAGAGAGCAAATTTCAGCGTTTATCCAAAAAAGGGAGGAGACCTTAACATTTAGTAAATGGATGAGAAGAGTTTACAGACTTAAAGATTTTCTTAGAATTAACATTTTCACCAGTTCATTGGAAATGAACTTAAAATTTTGGTGCAAGAAATTTGAAATTCAGGGCCCAGTGCCGTGGCCTAGTAGCTAAAGTCCTTGCTTTGAACACCCCAGGATCCCATATGGGCGCCAGTTCTAATCCCAGCAGCCCCACTTCCCATCCAGCTCCCTGATTGTGGCCTGGGAAAATAGTCGAGGACGGCCCAAAACCTTGGGACCCTGCACCAGCATGGGAGACCTAGAAGAGGATTTGGGCTCCTGGCTTCAGGTTGGCACAGCACCGGCCGTTGCGGTCACTTGGGGAGTGAATCATCAGAAGGAAGATATTTCTCTCTGCCTCCCCTCCTCTCTCTCTATATATATGCGACTTTGTATTAAAAATAAATAAATCTCTCAACTGAACTTGAACTGTGGTTATGCAGCAAGGTGGAGGAATCCACTATGGGGGGAGGGGTATGGGAGGGGTGAGGGGAATCCCCAGTGCCTATAAAACTGTATCACATAATACAATGTTAATAACAATAAAAAAAATTAATAAATCTTAAAAAAAAAAGAAATTTGAAATTCACACACAAAGGTAGAGTCTACAAAGAATTACTGGAAATTCACTGGGAACACTTCCCATCCCAGTCAGGCCTCACAGTTTTGGGGCCTGGAAGTGAAGGGGCTGGGTAGATGATTCCTGAAGAGGGCTCTCTTCTTGCTCACAGGTGGCTGTCCTATCTCTTCCCCCAGATGTGGGTGTGCATACAGAATCTATTATTCCAAAAATATCAACCCCACCAGGAGGGCTACAACCCTCACCTACATCTAAACATAAGCAATTAGCAAGGGTCCCACCTCCTAACACCATCACATTGGGATTTAAGGTCTTCAACATTTTAATTTGGGGAAATAAAATTTAATCTCTAACAAACCCTTTACAAACACTGTAACTTCATGGATCCAATCTGTCGGGTTTTGAAGTCAACAATCTGTTCCCTGAACATATGTAAAGCAAGTGCAATCCGGATGAGAAGGGCCGGATGGCTTTCCAAAGGAAGTGTCGGCAATGCAGTCTGCACATGTGCCGTGTGCCCCCCTCCAGCTCAGGTTTGGCCAAGCTTCAGAAGGGTGAGCTTCCCAGTGAGATGTTCTTACCAACATTCACTTAGACGTAAGAACAGCTTATCCTCATTTTTGCAGCAAGCCAAACCTGGACACTTGGGATAAAGCAGTGAAAAAAGCATAGAACAGAAGCAATAACATATGGATTGTATGTACTGAAACAAGTAGGACACATGCATTAGAGACTGTTTAAATGTATGAGAAGCTGAAGATTCACTGTACTCTACCAGAATCAATAAAAACATTTTTAATTTGATAAAATTCATTTACAACTCATCCATTTTAAAGGGTGTAATTCAATAGTTTTTAGTTAATTCACAGAACTGTGTACCCATCATCATAATCAATTTTGCAACGCTTTGATTACTCATAAAGAACCCTACCTCCTAGCGGCCCCACAGACACCACCCCACCTCCCCTCCAGTCCTAAGCAATGACTAATCCACTCTTGTCTCTGTAATCGGCCTATTCTGGGCATACCACATACACTGAATCGTACAATACACAGTCTTTTATGACTATTTCTTTCATCTACATACACATTAATCTACATAGCAACGATTAGTACCTCCTTTCTTTTTATGAAGTATTTCATTGTATATATCACACTGTGCTGTCTCTAGTACTCTGCCTTTCAAAAAATTAAATGATCTTAAAAAGACAATATTGAAAGTGATCATCCATAGCCCAGTGTGACAGCCTAGTGGTTAAATTCCTCACCTTGCACATGCTGGGATCCCATATGAGCGTCAGTTCTAATCAGAGCAGCCCTGCTTCCCATCCAGCTCCCTGCTTGTGGCCTGGGAAAGCAGTCAAGGATGACCCAAAGCCTTGGGACCCTGCACATGTGTGGGAGATCTAGAGGAGGCTCCTGGCTCCAGATTGGCTCAGCTCCAGTTGTTGTGGTCACTTGCAGCGGGGGGTGGGGTGGGGTGGTGGTGGTGGTGAATCAACAGTCGGAAGTTTTTCCTCTCTGT